AAATGTATAATAGATATTGGGAAATAGGAAGAAAATGTTCAAATGGGAATGGGATCAAGGAGGAGAGGAGTGGGGAAAGAAGGAAGGGAAAAGAAAAAAAAGAGAATAGGAGGGAAAGAATGGAAATCAAACTTTTATAAAGAAGGAGGAGAAGAGGGTTGAATGGAGGGCAGGGGATGGGGGAAGGAAGAATCAAGAAATACCATGTATAGGTACAAACTCCGTGTGGTGAAGGTGATTACTACGTATGTCTAAAATGTACCAATAAAATTAAGAACAAAAAAATCTAACACCTAATCCTAACCCTAACCCTAATTTAAAACAAAACTCTAACCCTAACCCTAACAATGATTATAACCACAACCTACCCTTAACACTATACCTAATCCATAACCCTAACTCAAACCCTAACACTAATCCTACCAAGAATTCTAACCACAACCTAACTCTAACTCTAAATCTAACTTCTACTGCTAACCTTAATCCTAGCCCTAACCTGCACCCTAACCCTAACAGTATTTGAAACACATTAATTAAATTTATTTTTAACTGATACTTGTATTACTTTTTTAATTGCTCCTGTGAATTGACTTCTCTCCCAGATTCGAGATGTAATGAAACTAAGGATAAGAGTAAACACTGAAAACTGAAAGGTGCCAGGAAGCTCTTGGCAGACAGTTGCCGCAAGGAGACAAATGAAACTGATGGGTGTCTCACTCCCCCTCATGTGGTGGTAGGAAGAGGAGTGGGTCTGGCAGAATTCAGCCCAGCTTGCTGGAAAGACAGTGCTAGTCTGCGGGAGGCAGCTTTGACTCAGTCGGATTGACTTGGTGTTTAAGGGTATTACTACACTGTTTAAAGATATGCAGCCAAAGGGATTTTGACCAAATATGTTCAAAAAATCCATTCATTACTAGATAACGAACTCTTGGACAGATTTCTGGAACGAAACTGTTACTTGGAATGTAGTCATATTCCAAGTAAATGCTTTGCCCAAACATTCACAAATCTTAGAACCTACGTACTCCCACTCTTCCAAGCAGTAGTTAAGTAACATTCCCATGTTGGCACAAATCATTACAACAATATGGCTAGCTAGACAAAAGATCAATTATAGAGCCTTTTAGCCCTAATTTTTAAAAAGGTACTTAATGGAATGGGAATCCTTTCCTCCAAGTATCACTTATTACTAAATAATATAGAATTAAGCTTCCAAAGCCTCAGTAAATTAACATAGGACATTGTAGAAATACATACATACACATATGTTATACACAAGTAAACATAGAAATCTTGTTACCCATAATAGTTATGTTCTATAAAGTCTCCATTTTACTGAATTAATAATTCACTCATTCATCAAATTAGTCAATACTGAGCCACTGTTCCCAAAGGTAACAGGGTTAAGGTCCCGTGTGTCTCTTGTCATAGTACTTCTGTTAGCAAAGGCTCATTGTAGCTATGGTTTTATTTGAGACACCCATTGAATATATGCTGTTGATTTGTTAACACTGAACTTGCAGCCAAAGCACTAATTATATAGCACATGGCTGGATGGAGCTTATCCAATATGCAAATTTTCTTCACTAGGCACATTTCTTGCTCTTCAGAACACTGGGCTTCAGGGTCATTTCAATCAGTAAGCTCACCAACTAAAACAACAAAAATACGAGTAACATAGAACTGATAAATTGGGAAAAGGAAATTTGTTTCTGAGAGCTGACACAAGAAGGTGGAACATGACTTTGTTTGACCTCAACTTGGAGTAGAAGGGCACATAGGGTGACAAACTTTTTACTTCTCATCACATGTCTGTGACTGACCATGAATGTCGCATGAGAATGGACATTGGGGTTACACATAAATTTTAACATGGGAATGGAAATGAATTCACAAATCTGGAGTGTGTGAATTAGTATTGACTGAATACAAATATTATATGCATACATAAATGTGTACATATATTTGTGTGAACATTTTTGTGGTACCCTAATAAGTTTGGGCCAAGTTCACAGGTGGGACCATTAGCAGCCGCAAAGTCCTTTCTAAAATGTAACACAGGATGTTATTCCTATCTGGTAATTTGAATACTTGCATACACCTGCCTTTTGGGGGCAAATGAATACTTATAAAATGTCTATTTTTCTTACTCCTTCAGATTTTTAGACCTGCACCTTTTATTGAGTTCCCCGAAGACCTCCTTAGTTCTCTTTGGTATTCTTTTTTTTTTTTTTTTTTTTTTTTTTTTTTTCAAAAAAAATTTGTTTTTTTTTTTTTTTTTTTTTTTTTTTTTTTTGTACCAGGGATCGAACTCCAGTCCTTGCACTTGCAAGGCAGGCTGTGCAACAACTGAGCTAAATCCCCTGCCTTTGGTATTCTTAAAATGAGGAAATGCTAAGGTCTTTATATTTTGCAAGGAAATCTGAAAATAAAAACCCTACTCTTCTTTCTGGAGTAGGGCAGAGTAAGTACCTACAGCTTTGCCCTTGTCAAGAGCTGACCACAGCTTTTTGTGTTACTTGGCCAGAATCCATGGGAACAGGGTGGGACGTGTAGACTTTAGATCTCTCTACTTATTGCCTGGCTCTATACATTTCCTGTATGCTCTTCAGCTGTAAAATGAAGATGATAACATCTATCTCGTGGTATAGTTGTGTAAAGTAAAAGTAATCCTGTATTTTATTCTTATCATTAATAGAAGCAATAATAATTATATTCATACCCAACATGGATAATATATCAAATTCAGCCACAAAAGGAATACGAGGGCAGCTGAACAAAGTAAACATTCCCTTTGGTCACACAGATGATGGCTGTTGGTTTGAGCTTATACCATGGTTGTCCAGTGTCTACAGAACCTCGATGTGCTCCAGCTTGTGGCAGGACAAAGTCTCTCATGCATTCTTGAGTCTTTATCACTGGAGGCTATCGAAACCATCAGCTGTCCCAAGACCATGAACTGGTGCCCTGCTTTCTGCAGAACTCTGCAGCTCAAGGTCCACGTCACGAGCTCTGCAGAACAGCTGATCTTAGCATGCATCCAAGAGAAAGAGGGATCAGTGCCATCAACCAACGCCCCTTCCACATTCCTTCTCTGTTGTTCACTCTTCCTGCTTTTTCTCTGCCTTTTACATCTCTATCATACTTTCCAGCTAATGCATCCTCATCTACTGTTTCTAAAACATAAAGAATAAAAGAATGAAAGCCGAGGAACTGTGATAGAAGAGAAGTTGCCAGAACAAGGCAGAAAGAAATAGGCCAATCGCTCATAGGCTAACATACATGCGCTATTGTGTAGTGTACAATATATAGAAACTGAAATGTCTGCATTTGCTATAGACATTTGTCAGAAAGTAGAAGATTGCAATTACACAAAGTCATGTTCTCCTACACACACAAAAATAAAATGAATCTACAACAAAATGGAAAGCAGCCTAGTGATAAGGAGTTTCCTGTCACTCAAGGTGATTTAGAAAGACAAGGTGACAGCATGTTAAAAATGCACCACGAGTACAGCTCCATTTCCTCACTGAATTGTTTATCTGTCACAGAAGCTCTGTGGTTCGTATTCACTGCAGAAGCTCTGTGGTCTTTACTTTGGAGGAGCTCACTGTGTACAGGCATCATTTAGATTATGTCTTTAGAGACTTACAGTATTTACCAACAGAATTCTACATTTGTACCTACATCAGGGCAGGCACTGAACAGTCATTCAGCAAATACAGCGGCTCAGATATTGTAGTCTCTCTGTAACAAATGGTAAGCATTCAGTGAGGACCCCATCACTCACTCAGCTCCTAGCAGGATCCAGCAGCTGAAGGATGAGCAGCTGGCCCAGCAGAGAACTTCAGGAGCTGGGAGCTGCCTCCATCTGAATAGCCAGCCTGAGCAACTGCGATAGTCTACATTTAGAATATCCCCCAAAAGGCTCACACGTTCATAGGTGGGGATTCTGGAAGGTGATTGGATTATGAGGGTGATACGCTCAACTGGAGATTCGTTTACTAAAGAGGTCAGAGTTCAATGTGCTGTCACGAGGTGGGATCTGGTCTGAAGGGGCATGTCACCGAGGACATGATCTGAAATGGTATATCTTTCTCCCTGGCTCCTCCATTCTCTCTGCTTCCTAGTCACCCTGATATAAGCAGCTTCCCTCCACCAGATCCTCTCACCATGCCCTTTCTGCGTTGGAGCCAGTTTCCTATGAACTGAATCCTCTAGAACCATGAGTCAAAATGAATGTCTCCTCTTTTAATTTGTGTGTGTTATGTATTTTGTCCTAGCAATGAGAAAGTGATTAAGACAGCAATTTAGTGAATTATCAAGAACCTCTGTCAAAATAAAACATTAAACAGGCACAGTGTGAAGGCCTTGGGTCGTTAAGCTTTGCAAAAAAAAAAAAATCCCTTCTCATTAGCCTATTTACTCCTATACCATCTTGGAGAGGAGTTCAATGAAAACAGTAGAGTATTTCATCTGAACGCACAGAAGGGACAGCAATCATGTACATATCCATGTACTCTAAGAGAATTAGGGATTCTTATATGAAACATAACACACGTCTCAAAAATCTAGTTACTGAAACATGACAGACCACAAAACTACTGATAAAAATGTACACTACTTACTGTGGAGTTACTTACAACAAACTAAACCTTGCAGTTGAATCAACATATACATAAAAAAACAATAATTAAAAATTGCCTTATCGCCACCCAAGACAACAAACACAATCCTCAGAAAATCTGCTCTCCCAGATTGTTGGAATCCCTAATATCTGCTCACATGGATGTGAGCATTGGGTGGCAAAGACTTTCACAATGGACGGAAAGAAACTATTAAGTAACACAGAGTAAGAGAAAGAAAAACCTCCTGCTGTTTTATGGACTCCTGTTTCTGCTTCTCATTTGCAAAGGGTACTCCAGGATTCTTTGCAGTTCTTCCTCTTCTTCAATAGGAAAACACTTTCAGGAGTACTTTTGCTTCTGCTTAGTCTGGGCGGGAATGGTTTGGACAGAAGAGAGTTAAAATTTGTCTGGGTGAAAAGTTACCTTCTGTGGATAGAGATATACAGTTGTTGTGCTGAGAGGTCCTGGGTGTCCCCTGTCTGCTTAAAAGGCAGACCTGGGGCCATGGTGTGGAGATTCAGTAAGGAGAAGAGCAAGGAAGGAAGAGAGGCTTGGCTCTGCTGTGAGCTGACCTTGGAAACATGAAGAGTGGCCACCAGAGCCAACTTGAGAGGCAGTGTGTGATGTTCACATGCATTGCAGCCAGCAGCTTCCATTTTCCACACTGAACAGACTCACGTGAGCCTACAACTTTCACTCGGGCTTATTATACCATAGCCTTGCTCAGTGATCCCTGGGGGTGCTAGAGGAGGCCATGAGAGAAGTCTTCAGCTCAAAGCAATGTGAGATGCCAAAGGGAACCACTGGGAAACCGTAGCAGTTGAGCAGAGCATGCAGGTGTAGGAATTCCCCAGAGTCTCTCGGGAGGCACTTTATTTGGTTTGAAAGGCTGCAAAACATGAGAAGATTCAGGTCAACCTAAAAAAAAGCTCAATATGATTTATAAATACCAAGTTTTGGTAAGCCATGATTAATTTGGGAAGTTGCCTGTTGCAAATAACAAAAGCTTTACATACGATGAAAGTCCTTGGAAGTACATATTGATCTTCCAGGAGCAGCAAAACCCAGACCAGAGGACTTGCTTTTGTTTCTGTCGGTCTGTGGCCTTCAGACTCATCACTGTTTTGTTTTATTTTTTTCTTTATTGGTACATTTTAGGTACACAACACAGTTACATTCATCATTGGGATCTTGTACCTCTACATGATGTATTTTGGTTCTTATTTTTCACCCATTCCCCTTGTCTCCCTTTCCTATTTACAGAGACTTTGTTTCCATTTTTTTCCTTTTCTCTTATTTCTTCTTTTCCCTTCTTACCTTTCCCCTGTCCCTCCCACTTCCCCACACCTTTAGACTGTTTTTTCCTATTACACAAAATCAATTATACATTTTGATCTTTATTTACACTTTTAGTTTTCTTTTTTAATTGAGCTTATTGGTACATTTTAGGCATGCAGTAGATTTACATTCAATATTGGGATCTTGTACCTTTACATGACAGGCCTTGGTTCTCATTTTTTTCCCCTTGTCCCTGCCCTCCCTTCACCCCCTCCTCCCCTCCCCATTTACTTTACACTTTTAGTTTATCACAGCAGAGAAACTATTCGCTATTTACATGTGTGTCCTATTAATTTCACTTAAGAGTTTGGCCTCAATGTGCATCTACCTAGCTATAAATGAATCTACTTTCTCATTTTAATGGCTGAATAGTACTCTGTTCTATTAAAAAAAAAATACATCTTGTTTATCCAGTCTCCAGTTGGTGTAGACCCATCATTGTTTTAAAGACACCCCCTCCTTCCTACAAGGAGCCATTGTGATACTATACGTTAGGTCCTGGACAGCAAAGCCTTGAGGATCAGAAAAGTACAAATGTTTGAGGTCAGCCATAAGTAATACAAAAGCATTTTTGCTCTTTATAATCACAAAGATAAATATAATTTATAGTAACTTTATAAAATATTAAAATATATGAAGAAAGCTTTAAAGTTACCCATAATTTAATCTCTAAAAGGTATAGCTATGTATTTTCTTCCATACTTTTTAATGCATTTTTAAAAACAAAAGCAGTATGATATATTACACATAATTATATTTGTGTGTTTGTTTATTTAACATATAATGAATATTTCCAAAATTAAGTATCCTTTGGAAATATAATTACAAGTGACTACATATTTTATTATGTGAAATCTATTAATGTTATTTCCAAGTTTTCAATGTCATAAATATGCTGCTAAGACAATGCTCAAATGACATGAACCAGGAGCTCAGGGATTAGAAACACAAATGTCCTACAAATGATGCACAAATGTATTAAAATGAAAGAACTGCAAATTAAATTATATAAATCACTAATTTCACTTACAATCACAACAAATGTAAAACATCTGATGATCCTTCATGTTGGTGAGGACACAGAAAAATAAATAGTCTCTAAAACTAGATAAAAGAATAAATTAATACAGCATCCATGAAAGACAATATGACAATTGAGATATTGCTTGTAATGTAGAAAGCTGGAAACAATCCAGCTGCTCATGAATAGGAGATTTGATAAATTATTGTGAATTAATACAAAGGAAGATCACGGAGTTTTTAGAAAGAATGGGATACTTAAAGACTACATACATACTGACATGGAAAGAAATCCAGAATATTTTGATATATTATGAAGATAAAAATTAAAAGGTTAATGTAAAAATACTGTTCATGAATTCTGTTTAAGCTGGAGAACTGATTAGTTCCTGGAAATGGCTGTGCTTGCTCAATCAGCTGATGTATTCAAATTGTTATAGCCCTGCCTTTTAGAAGCCCTATTTCTTAACCTTCTACTTTGGCAATGCTTTTCCTTGCTCTTTAAATTCCAGAGGATAATGGCATGATTCTTTCTACAGTCTATGTGACTGTGAGCTCATTCTTCCAAACTAAGGAGTTGGTTATGACACTTTTCATGATGTCAAAGAATTTCCACAGTCACTGATTTGGCTATTCATCTTAATTCTCTGTTTCCAATGCCATTTTCATTAAATTACCTTGACTGTTCATGACATTGATTTGAACATCCAGCACAATTCTCGTTTCTTTGGACCAGGCATAGCACTTTTTTTTTTTTTTTTTTTTTTTTTGAGACAGGGTCTCACTATGTAGAGTTGAGGCTGACCTGGAGCTCACTGTGTAACCCAGGCTGGTCTTGAGCTCACAGCAATCCTCCTACCTCAGCCTCCTGAGTGCTGGGATTACATGTGCCACCATGCCCCGGCAGAGTTTTTTGTTTTGGGGTTTTGTTTTTTTTGTTTGTTTTTTTTATTTTTATTTATTTTTTTTGTACCAGGGATCAAACTCGGGTCCTTGCACTTTCAAGGCAGGCAGTAGAACCACTGAGCTAAATCCCCTGCCATAGCACTTTCATTCATAGACTTTTGCTAATCAATACAGAGTTAAACTTGGTGCCTACATTCAAATAAATAGTAAAAGAACAACTACATGCATTGTATGACAATTATAATAAGCCATGTTGTTAATTTATAACCCATGTTATAATTATAACCCATGTTATAATTTCAGCCATGTTGGCTGAAAGCAATTGCAGTGAGAAATACAAATCTCATTGGCTAAGAGTATACTTAGGGCTGTCCTTGGCTGATAGTGTAGAATTGCAGTGTATGAGAAACATAACTCATGGCATCCTGTAATGGGATAATATTTTGGAGAACATATGAGAAACAAATAATACTATTTCAAATCATAACTAAGGTAGATTAAATATGTTTCTATAACACCATTTTTGAAAAAATGATTACTTTATCAGTAATATTAATATATACAAAAACTATTTGGAGAAATACGAATCAACAATACTTATGTCTGGACTATGGGAATATGAGGCAATTTTTCTTTTTACATTACATATCGGTGTACTATTTCAATATTTTATAGTGAGCATGATTACTTTTAAAAGTACCAAAAATCAATAATTAAAAAAAATACATTTGTATAAATATATCATTTAAATCTTTGTGCTTTCTGATTATTTTTCTCATAACAAGACTCCTAAGATAGCCTATGAGTAAGATTTTTGTTCTAAGGTCTGCAATCTTTAAGGCTTTTAATACATCAAACTGTTATTTTCTAGTTCGGGACCACTTCGCATTTCTATATATTTATTCATTTACTCTTGCATCCAGCAGATATTTGTTAAGTACCTCCTATGTGCCCCTTACTCTACCTACAGCTAGAGGTGCCATAGTAAACAACTCAGATTTGGTCTCTGCCTCCATAGATTATACCAGTGTTCATCAAATTGATATGAAATTTTAAAAAACTATGATAAATGCTATAAAGAAAAGTGAGGAATGAACTGACAGATTATACCAGTGTTCATCAAACTGATATGAAATTTTAAAAAACTATGATAAATGCTATAAAGAAAAGTGAGGAATGAACTGACAGATGGCCCATTGGTGGAGGAAATGGGGAGAAAGATAGGATCCCAGGAAGAGGCTGAGCCCCTCTGTGCCCTAATAGCTAAAAGAGAGCTCCTGGGGCTAGACTGCCAGGTGCATGGGCATAGTGGGGTGAGGGGCAGCCAGGTGCAGATCAAGTTAAGATTTAAGCCTGTGATCTGTATGCCAGTGAGTTTGAGGGACAGTTTTTTATGTGGCAAATGGATTAATAACAGGATCTTTTATTAATTTTAATCGTATTTTTTCTGATACTAGGGATTGAACTAAAAGCCTTCACACTGAGCAATAACTCCAGCCCTATTTTTATTTTTTATTTTGAGACAGGGTCTCTTTAAGTCATTAAGTTGCCCAAGCTAGGCTCGAAATTGTGATCCTCCTGATTTAGCTTCCCTAAGTGCTGGGATTACAGGCAGGAGCCACCATGCCTGGCTGACACAGGATCTTAATGACACATTTAAGAGGAATCTGAAAAAGTAGTTCAGCATAGAGTTAGATTAGATTTTTTTTAAAAAAGGTCTGGATGCCAGGTGAGGTAGAGGTCAGAAGGTGCAAGAGAGGCCATGGTAAATGAAAAAGAATGCTATAGCTGTAGTCTAAATGAAAGGAAACGGGAATAATTCATTAAGGTTATTATGTACATTTTTTAGAATTATGGAAATAATACATAGCATTTTAAAAGGTGTTTATTTATCTTATTCACTTTATAAAATAAAAACCTGGAAATTTAATGTTATCTTTAAATTTGGGGAAAACATTTTACTGACCTATGAAGCCAAAAATATGGCAATCATTTAAAATTTTTAATTTTAATTTTAATTGACAAATAATATTTGTGTATATTAAGGGATACAATATGATATTAACCTAAATGCCCATCAGTGGAAATGGAAACCATGAATGCCCAACATAGGAAAGAAATGGAATCCATGAAACAAATTCAAACAGATATCCAGGAGATTTAAGAACTCTATTGAAAGTATACATAACAGACTGAGTCAATCTGAAGACAGGATATCAAAATCACATATCAGGTATCAGATATAGAAGACAGGATGGTGGTCAGTGAACTTGAAAAAAGGGATCTCTTAAAAAAATAAGGGAACATGAGAAATCAATCCAATAGCTCCTAGAAGATGCAAAGAAGAATAATGTAAGACTGATAGGAGTCCACGAAAAAGCAGGAGAAAGTACAAGTGACATAAAAAAACTGTTCACAGAATTAATGACTTCCATGACAAAGAATACCTGAGAAACTTCATGAATACCAAACCTGCACAATTCTAAGTAACATCCTATAAAAATTCTAAGTAACATCCTAGAAAAAGACAATGAAGAGCACAACTCCGTAAGGCCCAACAGAGCAAATCCAGCAGGTAAGGCAAGAAATTAAAGAGGGGGGAAAAATTAAAAAGAGACAACAACAGGAAAATAACATGATGATCATGTCAGTATATATCAGTTATAACCATCAATGTTAATGGCCTCAATTTACCAATCAAAAGAAATAGACTGGCAGAATGGATTAAGAAGCAAAATCCAACAATATGCTGTATACAAGAAATGCACCTAGTTCAAAAAGAAACTCATAGACTGAAAGTAAAAAGATAGAAGTAAAAGGATGAAAGTAAAAGGATGGAAAATAGTTCTCCAGTTTCCAGGAACCAGGAAAAAAGCCAGGGTAGCTATCTTATTTGCAGACAAAGTAAATTTCAAACCAAAACTAATTAAGAGAGACAAAGAAGGTCACTACATCCTTGTAAAGGGAACACTCCAAGAGGAAGAGATGACAATCATAAATACATATGCACCAAGTACTAAATACCCCCAGCTATACAAAACAAATATTAAAGGACATGAAAAACTGATTAAGCACTAATACAATTGTAGTGAGGGACATCAATACCCCACTGTCACAAACAGACAGATCATCTAGACAAAAAAATCAACAACCAAATACTAGAACTCAACCAAGCTTTTGAACAAATAGACTTAATAGACGTCTACAGAGTGTTCCACCCCACAAAATCAGAATATACATCCTTTTCAGCTGCACATGGGTCATTCTCCAAAATAGACCAAATACTAGCTCATAGAATTGTTTAAGTAAATGCGAAGGAGTTGAAGTTATGCCATGTATATTACCAGACCATAGTGCAATTAAACTGGAGATCAATGGCAAAAGAATCCACAAGAACTTCACAAACACATGGAAATTAAATAACACTCTCCTGAACAACCAATGGGTCAAAGAGAAATTAAAGAAGAAATTAGACAGTTTTTACAATTTAGAGATAGTGCTAATACAATATACAGAAATCTATGGGACACAATGAAAGCAGTTCTATGAGGGAAATTTATAGCAGTGAATGCCCACACTAGGAAAACAGAGTGAACTCAAATAAACAACCTAATGCTGAATCTTAAGCTTTTAGAAAAAGAAGAGCAAGACAAACCCACAGCTTGTACAAGGGAGAAAATTATAAAGATCAGAGCAGAAATCAATGTAATGGAGAGTAAGAACAATACAAAAAATCAACAAATTGAAGAGTTGGTTTTTTGAAAGAATAAATAAAATCAATAAACCTTTAGCCAACCTTATCAAAAAAAGGAAAGAAAAGAATCATATCCATGCAATTAGGAATGAAAAAGGTGAAGTCACAACAGATCAGGAGAAATCCAGAGGATCATCAATACCTACTTTGAGAAACTGTACTCTAATAAAATGGAAAATACAGAAGAAAAGGACAGATTTCTAGGTACATATGAATTACCAAAGTTGAACAAAGAAGATATAAAAATTTTAAACACCCCAGTTACAATCAGTGAAATTGTAAATTAAAGAAAAATTTACCAACAAAGAAAAGCCCAGGTCCTGATGGCTTTACTGCTGAATTCTACAAAATGTTTCAAGAAGAACTACTGTCACTACTTTTGAAACTTTTCAGTGAAATTGAAAGGGAAGTGATACTTCCAAATTCATTCCTTTAAGCAAGTGTTACTTTGATTCCAAAACAGGGAAAGACCCAACCAAGAAAGAGAACTACAGGACAATCTTGCTAATGAACATAAATGCAAAAATCCTCAATAAGATACTGGCTAACAGAATACAGAGGTTTATGAAGAAGATCATACACCCTGACCAAGTTGGATTTATCCCAGCAATGCAAGGATGGTTCAACATATGTAAATCAATAAATGTAACATACTATATTAACAGGGTCAAAGACAAAAACCATATGATCATCTCAATAG